CACAGATGTGTGGAGCCCAGTGCCAGTGGATATGTCTACAGAAGACTCCAACACCTAAGGCTCAGGGAACATTTCCAAACAGAGGATGGAAAGAGCCAGAGGACCAGGGGGTTTGCTGTAAGAATGTGTCTCCTGGTGATGTCAGCAGCTACACCTATGAAGTCTCACCATCATGACTGCCTGCCTACACAGGAGCTGAAGGAGGACAATCAGTCTTCTCCAGGGAAGAGCACACTGACTGGTTATCCAGGACCACAAGGCCAGCCTTGAAGGAACCCACATGAGCAACATTGTGCAGACTGAGCAGGTTATAATCAAGATTATATATGGGTCTACATACAGGCACAGAACAATAATTAATGAAAAAGAAGGCCGTGAATTTAAAAAGAGCAAAGGTGAGCAGATGAGAGGTTTGGGAGAAAGAAAGGGAAGAGAGAAATAGTGTAATGATCATATGATCTCAAAAATAAAAGAAAAAAGATTTTAAAAACTACAAAAATCATGAAATCAAAGATAAATTTTTGTATCGCCTTGGTATCTTTTGTCTTATTGGGTTTTTATAGTTTGTTCTGATTTTGATTTTTTTCTCTTGGAGAGAGATAGAATGAAGGAGGGTAGGTAGGGAGGGTGAGGAGAATTTGAGAATATTAGGAAAAGGAAAAATATGATCAAAATATATTACATGAAAATTAATTTTTACATACAAAATAATTAAAAACAAAGCTAAAAAGCTACGAAACCATGCAAGATTAAATCCAAAGGGTCTGGAGTATAGCATTGCAATCTTTTGCTAATTTGGTAAGAGGGAAAATCTTTGTATTCTTATCCTATACACACATACTCACAAAGATGATGAGGGGATATTTGTAGAGGGGGTGCATGCATTTATGGCATAGATTCTGGTGGCATTTGCTTGGATATACATTTGTCTCCAAACCCATCAAGTGAAGACAGATTTTTGTATGTCCTCTTATCTTTATAAAGTGATTTTAAAACAAATATATTCATGTGTGGCTAATGGGTTTAGAGGAGCATGCCAAAACCATTTAATAATGAGAAGAGTATTCTTTTCAAATAGGATGCTGCTATCTACATATCTATGTAGTAGTCATAGAACCCCTACTTCACACTATCATACAAATGTTAAAATGGACCAGGAACTACGACAAAAGAGCTAGAACTGTAAAACTCTTAGAAGAAAACATAGGATTGCATTTTTATCACCTGTAGCCAATGGATGAGTTCTTCATCACAAAAGCATAGTAATGGATAAGTTTGGATGATCTCAAATTGTGCTTCAAAATATTCAAGAAAATAAAAATCAGCTTATAGAGCAGGAGAGATGTATACAAATCTTATTATTTGGGACTTTGTGTATATCTGTCCTTTGTATAGGGGCTGATTCCAATGAAGAGCTAGTAGGAAATGCAAAAAAAATCTATGGTTATTGCAATAAATAAATAAAATACATTGTATTTATGAACTGGAGTAGTCTTTGGGAGGAGACTAGGAAAAAGGAGGAAATGGAGGACGGGTGACTGACTCATGATAGACTTGGATGATACTGTCTAGTGATTATACCAATAAAAAAAACTAAATAAATAAGTAAAAGGCACCATAAAATCACATGAAAATTCTTCACATGTACCCCTTGAGTGACCCTCAAAGTGGTAAGGATTGAAGAGCCCAGGGAGACAGGAATGAGAGAAAAAAAAAGAATTTGTTTTTGGAAATAGAAATGAATGCAGAAAAAAAAAAGGTTGGCGTACTCATACATACTACAACCTGGTAAGACTTATGTTACAAGAAAGCAGTCATTCAGAAAAGACCTCGTATTAGTCAACGTTGTTTACATGAAATATCTGTAATAGGCAGATTTATAAAGGTCAGAAGTAGATTTATGTGTGGATAACAAGGGACAGAGTGAGCAACTTTAGTGGGTGAGGGAGGGTGGTAATGAAAATGTCACCAAGTGACAGTGTGGAGCTGATTTTACAAATGTGTGACTACATTTTCAAACATGGATTGCATACTTTAAATGATTAATTTAGGAAATATGACCTACCTCAGTTAGTGTTTTTTTTTAAGTCAAGAACAAATACAATTCATACAAATGCAAATGGCTTCTCTTTAGACAATTTTATATGCCAAAGTTCTTGGAACTTGTTGATTCATGAGTTACCTAGTTCAAATTGTGACAAACCTCTTCTTTACTGAACATTTTCCTGGGTATGCTCTGGGCAGGAATCCTTACATGAGTTACAGGTTCCCAGACCTTAGCACAACCGACTCCCTGGTAGAAGTGCCATTCAGGCCAGAAAACTCAGCACGTAGACAGCTTCATCTACTGAAATGAAAACAGAGAACTAACTCATCAAAGTCCGTGTATTAACAGGGTAGTGTGAGACCTCATCACTGCTATTCAGTACAGCATTTACTTTAAGACATGAATTATTTATCTCTGGAATTTCCTGCTGAATATATTTTGGATTTCAGGTAAAATGAAACCATGGAAAGTCCCATATGAATAAAAGGATTGCCACATACACCTTAGTCGGTGTTTTATTGCTGTGAAGGGACACCATGGCCATGGCAGATCTTGTAAAGGAAAACATTCAACTGGAAATGGTTTACAATTTCAGAGATTTAGTCCATTATCAACATGGTAGAAAGCGGGGCTACACATAGGTAGGAATGATTCTCAAGGAGTGGAGAGTTTTGCATCCAGATCAGCGGGCAGCAGGAAAGAGAGAGAGACTGGGTCTTGGTGTGGGAAGTCTGGGATTCCTGCTTCATGAAAAACTCTACAGGACACAGAAGAAAGTGATTGGCAAACTGCTAATATAGGAGGAACTGTCTTTGAAATTTCCTGCTTCATGGAAAAGTCTGCTGGATACTATGAGCCTGTAGGCTGAAGACGGATGTTCCAATGTTATAGAAGAATTTTGAATGATGTTCAGGCAGCAAGATGTCTCTGTCATTTCTATGGTTTTGGAAGTTGCTTACAATGCACTTCCTGTTAACTTTGGTAGTATTATATCCCTCTGGGGTCTTTGATGGAGTTGAAGAATAGATAGTTATAGTTTTTCCTAGTTATGATAAAAGATAAAGTATATACAAATATTGTAACTGTAATTATTGCTTGATACCTGTTTTATTATATGTAATTTTACTATGTTAAAGTTAAAACCTTCCTTTTTATTTGAGCAGAAAAGGGGAAATGGTGTGGGAAGTCCTTCTATATGTACTGCTTTTATTGGTTAGTGAATAAAGAAACTACTTTGACCTTTGATAGGGTAGAATAGAGCAAGGTGGGAGAACTAAACTGAATGCTGGGAGAAAGTAGGTGGAGTCAGTGGGATGGCATGGAGTCACTAGAAGAGACAGATGTGCCAGAATCTTGCTGGTATGCCACAACCTCATAGTGAGGCACAGATTAGTAGAGATGGGTTAATTTAAGATGTAAGAGCTAGCTAGAAATATGCTTAAACTATTGACCAAGCAGAATTGCAAATAATACTGCTTCTGAGGGATTATTTCAGGCCTGGGCAATCAGGAAACAAACAAGTGGCCTCAGCCAACAGGGCCTAGCTTGAGGTTCTAAAACCCCAAAGCCCACACCCAGTGACACACTTCCTCCAACAAGGCCACACCTCCCCCAACAAGACCACACCTCCTAATCCCTATTTAGTAGCAACACTACCTAATGACCAAGTATTCAAATACCACACGATATCATTTGATCCATAAATTCAGCAAAGGAATTAACTATTTCAGAAAATCTTCCATGTCTTAGTAAAGTTATTAAGGATGGGGATTTGGGGTGACAAGAGCCTTGTTGGGGGGAACAGCAAGACTTGCCGAGTACAGGTATGTGTATTTGGTAGTGTGTTAGCTACTGTTATCATATTTGTGACAAAATAGCAGACAAAAGCCACTTAGAGAAGGAAGGGCTCGCTAGGAACACAGTCCACCCGTGAGGAGAATGAGTGACAGGGGTGGTCCGTTCTTGTCACTCTCGTGGCCGCAGTTCACAAGCAGAGAGAACGTTGGAGTCATCTTCCGACTTCTTTTCCATTTCACCCCAGCTTACAGGATGGTGTCGTCCACAGTCACATGAGCCTTCTTCATGTTGAACATCCTAGAAACAGTCTCACAGACCTGGTTGATGGGTGTGTCGCCTTGTGATTCCAAATCTAGTCCCGTAGACAAGGACAACTGCCACAGTCAAGATCTTCATGGCAAATCTATTTGCCAGAAGTTGTTAGGAGTGGAAAGGCTATGAAAAGGCAGAATCTCTGCCCTCAGGGTACTGAGGTTCTTGGGAGAGAGACGCAGTTAAGTTTTTATATCAAGTGCAGTGTAGAGAAGCTGAGAGGGAAGCAAGGAGCCATGAGGAGATGTATCAGGGAGCAGAGAGGCACTGTATCGGGGTTCAGCTGTCTTGGGTAGACCCCATAAGAGAAAAAGATGCAGAGCAATGTTTTCTGTGACTCTGTGTTTATGTTCCATTGAGCAAACTACTGCTTCCCAGGAGGCTGAGAATCAACATGTGAGAAGGAAATGCCTTTGGCTTAGTGTAATTTCCTCCTGCAGAAGTCTCGCTCAGAGTCTGCTAGGTGGGGAATCCGGGAGATAGCCCTCAGCATTGCCTTTTCTCATCTCTTAATTTTGTTTTACTTTAGGACAGTGGTTTGTGGGTTTTTCCCTAAATTACATCTCTCTTTATGTCTGTCTCTGTCTCTCTTGGGAGACAGAGGAAGAGAGAGAGAGAGAGATCCGCAGGATTTGTTCCTTCCACCACCAAGATCACAGAGATTAAACTTGGGTTGTCAGGCTTGGCAGCAAACCCCTCTACTTGCTGAGACATTTCAGCAGTTCTGTGACAAAAACAAAACAAAACAAAACCCCCACAATTTTACACCAAATTTTACATTCCTTGCAAAAGGCTTTTATATGAGGCCTACACAAATGGAGAACCACAGGCCAAGCCTTGGCCTTTATTTTAAAAAGCTGCATATTTGTTTTGCTTTCCGACTCTGTGCTTGTGTCTGTAACACTTTTGCAACCATTTTCTGCTCCTTCATAAGGAAAGCCCACTTGATCCGGTCATGGACACACTTGGCACACATGGAGCCGATAGGCCCTGCTGACATACTTCTTTGACTTAAGACCCCTGGAAGTCTGCCTGGGCACACACCACATGCCGATTTAGGTGCTTTCCCAACCTTCTTGGTATAAAGGTAAACAATCCTGTTGCCAGGGGTTCGAGGCAGCCTAGTTTTGTTAGAGGCTGTATTGTAGGAAAGCCTGCAATGGTATGTCAAACACTGGACCATTCTGAGAGCCTTTAAGCACCGTTCCTGGAAGAGGAAAAGGAAAAGGGCTATTTTTTTCTCATTTTCCATACTAAACCCAGTTCCCACTCCCTCCCTTCCTCCCTCTTCCTTCACCCCACCCCTATCCACTCCTCAGGGAGAGCAAGGCTTCACATGGAGAGTCAACAAAGTCTAGCACTTGACTTTGAGGCGCGGCCAAGGCCCTCCCCATTGTATGTAGGCTGAGCAAGGTAACCTTCCAAGGAGAATAGACTCCAAAAAGCCAGTACAAGCAGTAGGAATAAATCCTGGTCTCATTGCCAGTGACCCCACAATCTGCTCCAGCCATACAACTGTCACCCACATTCAGAGGGCCTAGTTTAGTCCATGATGGTTCCTTTCCTGTCAGGCAGGAGTTGATGAACTCCCATTAGCTCAGGGAAGCTATTTCAGTGGGTATCTCCATCATGGTATTGATCCCTTTGCTCATATTACTGATCCTCTCTCTCTTCAACTAGACTTTGGGAATTCAGCCCAATGCTCCTCTGTGGGTCTCTGCCTCTGTTTCCATCACTTGCTGGATAAAGGTTCTATGATGACATTTAAGATAGTCATCAGTCTGACTAGAGAGCAAGGCCATTGAGGCATCCTTTCCACTATTGCTTAGGGTCTTTTCTGGGGTCATCTTTGTGAATTCTTGGGAATTTCTCTAGTGCCAGGTTTCTTGCTAGCCCCATAATGACTCCATCAATCAAGATATCTCTTTTCTTGTTTACCCTCTCTTTCCTTCCCCATCTTGACTATCCCGTTTCCTCAAGTTCTTTTCCTCCCTTGCTTTCTCTCCCTCTTCTGCCCTTCTGTCCTCCCTCTTCCCTCCACTCCCACGCTCCCAATTTTCTCAGGATATCTTGTCTATTTCCCCCTTCCCAGGGTGATCTATGTATGTTTGTTTCTTTTGGGGTTCTCCTTGTTACCTAGTTTCCTTGGGTTTGTAGACTATGGGCTCCATATCCTTTTCTTATGTCTAACATCCATTTATGAGTGGGTACACATCATGCACATCTTTCTGTGTCTGGGTCACCTCACTCAGGATGCTTTTTTCTAGTTCCACCCATTTGCATGCAAATTTCAAGGTGTCATTGTTTTTTGCTGTCAAGTCGTATTCCATTGTGTAAATGTACTACATTTTCTTTATTCATTCTTCAGTTGAGGGGTATTTAAGTTGTTTCCAGGTTCTGGATATTATGAATAATACTGCTATGAATATAGTTAGGAAATGTCTTTATACTATGATTGAGCATCCTTTGGGTATTTGCCCAAGAGTAGTATTGCTGGATTTGAGGTAGGCTGATCTCCAATTTTCTGAGAAATCACCATACTGATTTCCAAAGTGGCTGTACAAGTTTGCACTCCCACCAGCAATGGAGGAGTGTTCTCCTTACTCTATCTATCTATTACTATACCAATGACAGTCGAAGCTATCATTGATGTTTTTGATCGTAGCCATTCTGACTGGTGTTAGATGGTGTCTCAGAGTCGTTTTGATTTGCATTTTCCTGATTGCTAAGGATGTTGAATATTTCCTTAAATGTTCTTTGGCCATTTGAGATTCTTTTGTTGAGAATTTTCTGTTTAGTTCTGTGCCCCATTTTTTTAAAAGTGGATTATTCGATATTTTGATGTCTAGTTTCTTGAGTTCCTTGTATATTTTGGAAATCAGACCTCTATCTGATGTGGTGTTGGTGAAGATATTTTCCCATTCAGTAAGCTGCCTTTTTGTCTTATTGACTGTGTCCTTTGTTTTACAGAAGCATTTCAATTTCAGGAGGTCCCATTTATTTATTGTTTCATTCAGTGTCTGTGCTACTGGAGTTATATTTAGGAGGTGGTTTCCTGTGCTTATGCATTTAAGGCTACTTCCCATTTTCTCTTCTATGAGGCTCAGTGTGGCTGGATTTATATTGAGGTCTTTGATCCATTTAGATTTGAATTTTGTGCATGGGGATAGATATGGATCTATTTTCATTCATCTACATGCTGATATCCAGTTATGCCAGCACCATTTGAAGATGTTTTCTTTTTTCCATTGTATAATCTGTCCTTATTGTATATCTGCAATTCTTTAGTGTTCAGGAGCTCTTTTTAAAATGCTAAGTGCTTCTTAAAACTTAAGTTGCACCTTTACTAGAGTATATACAATACCTCCTGCTTGCCCTACCCAGTCCAGCATGGCAGAGCGACTTGCACCTCTGAGTCCCACACACCGCATCACTTCCAGGCACACAGCCAGTCCACGTTGCCACCAAGCAAGCTGCAGCATGCTGCTCACAAACCCCATCCAAATGCTTGGTTTCCCGAAAGAGTCAGAGTTTGTGCCAGGAGCATGGCTGGGAAACTGCCATTTTGAAACCCAGCAGCTGCCACTGCTGTATTAGTAAGACCATTCTTAAAGGAGCTGCAGCATGCCACCCCAAGCAAAGCCCATTTAGAAATATAATTTTAGCTTCTTTGTCAAAAATCAGGTGTTCACAGTTGTGTGGATTAATATCTGGATCTTTGATTTGATTACATTAGTCCTCCTTTCTGTTTTATTCCAATACCAAGCTGTTTTCATTACTGTAGCTCTATAGTAAGCTTGATGTCAGGGATGGTGATGCCCCTAAATGTTCCTTTATTTTTCAGGATTGTTTTGTCTATCCTGGGTTTTTTGCTTTTCCATATGTAGATGAGTATTGTTCTTTTGAGGTCTGTGAATAATTCTGTTGGGATTTTGATAGGCTTTGCATTGAATTTGTTGATTGCTTTTGGTAGGATTGCCATTTTTATTATGTTGATCCTACCATTCCAAAACCATGGGAGATCTCTCCATTTTCTGATATCTTCTTTAATTTCTTTCTTCAAAGATTTAAAGTTCTTGCCATACAGGTCTTTCACTTCTTTGGTTGGTGCTACAACAAGATATTATATGTTATTTGCAGTTGTTGTGAAAGCTGATGTTTCTCTGAGTGCTTTCATTGCTTTCTGAGTCCCTTCATCATTTGTTTATAGAAGGGCTACTGTTTCTTTGACTTGATCTTGTGTTCATCCACATTTCTGAAGGTGTTTATCATCTGTAGGAGATCCCTCATAGAATTTTTGGGGGTCACTCATTTATACTATCATATCGTCTACAAATAGCAAAAGTTTGACTTTTTCCTTTCCAATCTGAATCCTCTTGGTCTCCTCTTATTTTCTTATTGCTCTAGCTCAAACTTTGAGTACTATATTGAATAGATATGGAGAGACTTGATGTGGGAGTCCCCTCTGTGTGCTGTGATTACCATTAATGAATTAAGAAACTGCTTTGGACCTATAGCAAGGCAGAACTTAGGTAGGCAGGGAAAGCTAGGCTGAATGCTGGGAGGAAGAAGGGTGGAGTCAGAGAGATGCCATGGAGCCGCCAGAGTCAGACATACCAAAACTTTGCTGGTAAACCACTGCCACAGGGTGATACACAGATTAATAGAAATGAGTTAAATTAATATGTAAGAATTAGCCAATAAGAAGCTAGAGGTAATGGACCAAGCTGTGATTTAATTAATACAGTTTTTGTGTGATTATTTTGAGTCTAAGGTAGCCAGGTGGCCAGACACCAACAAGCAGCCCTCCCTCCTACAATTGACACACCAACGTGGTGAACTAAATCTATGTAAACCCTGAGAAGGTTTGGAAAGGAACTCTAGATACCAAAAAAAACAAAGTTTAGCCACATATTTTTTCCAAATGTGCTTTGCTTGGGGTGGCATGCTGCAACTCCTTTAAGAATGGTCTTACTAATTAAGTGGTGGCAGCCGTGGGGTTTCAAAATGGCAGCTTACAGACCATGGGCTGTGCTCCTGGCACAAACTCTGACTCTTTTGGGAAACCAAGCATTTGGATGGGGTTTGTGAGCAGCATGCTGTGGCTTGCTTGGTGGCAACGTGGACTGTTTGTGTACCTGGAAGTGGGGTGGTGTGTGCAGCTCAGAGGTGCAAGTGGCTCTGCCATGCTGTACTGGGCAAGGTAAGCCGGAAGTACCATATATACTCTAGTAATGGTTTTAAGAAGTTTTAAGAAGCACTTAGCATTTTAAAAAGAGCTCCTGGACAGTAAAGAATTACAGCTATGCAATAAAGACAAATCTAGATGGAAAAGAACTCTAAATGGGTCACAGTGTTGGATAAATGTACATAGGCTTGGGAGAGAAAAGAAAACAAGTATAGAGAGTTGGAAAAGAAGTAAATAGTTTTTAAAAAAGTAAGTCTTTAAAGAGACAGAGTACAGATAGTCATAGATTAAAAGGAGAAAAATAATAAGTCACGTAAAGATGGAATATGCACAGAGAGTCTGAATTATGTATATTGTATTTTCTTTGAATTTTTTGACTGTGAAGGAGCTAAGTACAGAGAGACATTTCAATGTATGGACTGCTATGTTAAACCAATATAAAGGCGTCTTGATTCCAAAATTTGAATCTAAGGATATGTTATTTTGGAAAAGAGGTTCTTCTTTTCTTTCCACAAAGGATGAGAACCTGTGCATTCATTCCAGGCTAATATGGTTTGATAGAGCATGATTCCCTGAAAGGTTGCCATGAACACCCTCAAAAAATTACTTCGCCCAACTGCTGACTGAGATGAACCTAGCACATAGGATACACCACGAAAGACCTGATTAATAGCATCCCCAAACAGCAGGAAGAAGTTTGGACAGAACTGCATTCATATTCCCAAATATTGTCTATAAATTTTTGTTTACATTTAAAGGGGGATAATGCTATAGAGATGGATACTTTGCATTGGTATTGATCTTGGTTTATTGATACAAATTTAAGGTCAATATTGTTATATGTATATTTCTGCTCTTAATTAAGGTAATTTGTGCAACTCATTTAAAAAATGTACTGTATAAATAAGAAATACAGGTTAATAAATAATCATCTATAATAGTCAAGTTTGTAGTCATGTTAGTCAGGTTTTCTAGATATATAGAAATATATTTCA